TGAAAATAGACCGTATATAAAACAGGTCCACAAACCATGCAGGGACATAATTAACAGATCGCAAAAACTGATATAAACAAATTCACCAAGTTCTACCTAGTACATGTATCGATACACAAAGTGCACGGTATCGATCAGATCATAAATTACGTGCTTCACCAACGACACGAAACCGCCCGTCATCTGACGAAGCTGAAATAATTGTGTTAATAGTACCTTGTCCCAGAGTAAGGCCACTCCACTGTGATCAAATCGATCCCAGTGCTGTCCTTGTAAATAATAGATTTTGCTATTTATCCTTCTGAAACGAAGGTAGTTACTGTGACCCATTTACGACAAGGGATAAACGTATTTCTCGTAAGTCACTTGTTTTAAAACAATAGACTCCACCTAGCAATTGACTATCATATAAAATGGCAACAACTATTTCAATTGCCAGACACTGGTCCTTTAATTACAGGAACATTCAAATTGAAATTGGTCGATAAAACACGCCAAGCGTTCAACCAAAAGTCCGTCAGTCAAAAGCTCGTCCGCGCGACACATAAATATTCAACTAGATGCCTGCCTATACGGTACATTCATATTCAACTAGATGCCTGCCTATACGGTACCTTCATATTCAACTAGATGCCTGTCTATACGGTACACTCATATTCAACTAGATGCCTGCCTATACGGTACATTCATATTCAACTAGATGCCTGCCTATACAGTACATTCCTATTCAACTAGATGCCTGCCTATACGGTACATTCGTATTCAACTAGATACCTGCCTATACGGTACATTCCTATTCAACTAGATACCTACCTATACGGTACATTCATATTCAACCAGAAGTATGTACTGCATAGAAGGGTAGACACTTCTCTATATACGGATACGGGAGTTTTGACGTATAGGCGAGTGTCGACATTTATTTAACTGTTATTACTATTTATCATATTTATCAATTATGGACTTTAGTCCAGGTGAATATGTGTTTATACATCGTATGAATCTGAAAAGAATATATTGACCGAGACGAAGTTAGATTCTTATAACCGCATATTCACCAAAATAAAAGTCCTTGATTATTATATAGGATATGAAATTATATTATTTTATATTCTTAAACAAGATGGAACGTAATAGAATCGTCAAGAGAAAGGTACTGATACTGAGAGAGAACATTGTGACGCTACAATATTGAAATGACGTCATTAGGAGTATATCAACCTGGTGTTTCTAAATATAGTAACTCCTAGTCATTGTCACAAATCACCGACATCTAAGTGATAAAATTTCAACCAATGAGAATGTAGGTAAAATGTTGGTCATCTAATAATCTTCAAGATGTTTGTATTCGTATACCGTCTTAAAATAGTGCGTTTTACCAGGGATAGGATGGTCTCACTGGAGGTTCAACGTGGTTGAATAACCGATAATAAGACAATGTTTAATAGCCTCTATGTTCATTTGCCTCACATTCGAACCAAATAATTGCAAGAACTCTAACTGCAATAAGACGTTCATTCGCGTCACAATACAAACACATACAGCATACATGGAACTTTATCGGTCTAAATCCCTTTGTACTTTTCACGGCAACTCAATAAGTAGATTAGAAAAGTGGTTCGGAATAAATCTAGAATTAAGGTAAATCGGTTTTCATACTAGTAAGAACATCCCGCATTGTCTCACGAGAATGTGGTAACGGCTGTCATAGGGATCACGTGGTCCATTGGAATGATCTACAGCCTTGAACACAATCCTGGCGTCTCCCTGAACAGATATAGTCGTTGATGTCTTCTTCGCGAGCGGGGTTACCTTACGCAACTAATCAGAGAACGGCTTAAGAGTATAATGAAATTTAGTGGCTGTACATGATCTATACGTTCGCGTGTAATGCATATCGTACCACTCTCCGTACTACAGTACAGTATTGCGGTGTTACTAATCACACGAAATACCCATTGGCAAGGAAGTGACATAAATAAATTATAGTATTAAGTAAACGTGCAGGAGGTCCTCATCAAGCTGTTTTATTTTGCGTGAGGAAATTTACCTCACACTTACCGCATACGTGTAGTTATGGCCCTTATAGACACGTTAATGAAGAAAGAAAAAATTGAAGTCGTGGCATTGTTAGATACGAAACTGAGGCAATGAAGATATTACCAGTTCTGTGTAATCGCTATAGCAATTGTTCAATTCTACCAAAATATACAAGTTTGTGTATTGTGTAACTTCAATCACTCAGATGATTGAGACAAAGGAACACCAATAAAGAAGACAGATCGATGAAATAAACAGATACATCCACAAATGTTACTCCCCAATCGGGCATGATCTTCCTTGTGTTGCACAGCTTCGTTTTAAGGAGAATACGATAACTGAAGTCTTTCTGTTAAACAATTTCATTTGTAGGCGTTGTTTTTTATTGATTCATTAACGGCTACATCAAGTCTGGTGATTGTTTTCATGACAGTGCTAATTTTGTGATTTTCGCGGAAGATTTAACCCGCGAATTTTAAGTGACAGTGAACTTATCAGGTCAAGTAACACTTCAGACATACAATGCTTGAACCACTTAACTCATTCACCCTTGAAGACACATTTGAACTCTTCCAATTCAAAGGTTGGAATAGTTCATTATGTTATTCAGAGGTGAATGATTTAATCACAGTGCGACCTTACAATTTCCATAAAGACGCGAAAATAACACTACGCGGAAACAAAGAAAGAGGAAGTTTTGTTTTCATTCTGAAGTGCCTATGTACTTTTCAAACCAGACTTCCACATTTGTCCGGAAATGATAAAACACTGCACTCCACTACCAGCTGGCACCAAGTCAACTGTATGCTTTTGGCTTACTAGTAATCTTCAGCCTAATCCTATGTCTATCAAAAAATTAAACTGAAATTCATTGAAATGTTTCCCTGCACCCATGATAATACTTAATAATGAACGGTCTTAATTATTAATCCCGAAGGACCTTATGCCACGACCTGTATGTTATATTTTCAGTTTAAATGTATTTTGATTATATTAACCATCATGCATTCAAACTTTTTCTTACAAGATATATGCTTCATCCATAACGTTTGACAGGTTTTTATTTCGATTATAAATTAGAGGCGTGTCATAGTAATGCATCAGATGTACTTACGTTTAGAACTCTTTTGGAAAGGAGGTTAATTCACAGTAAGGTGGCCTATATACTTAAGTTTGTAAATCTTGTGGAAAGCAGATCATGGTCATAGTAATTTAGCATATATATCAGATGTATCTTATATTTTGTAAAGCTTGAGAAAATTATGTTATATTCGTTACATTTTCTGTAGCTATTGTGTACAAAAATTGAATGTCAATCGTCTGTAGTCATAGTATAGAGATGTCAATGGCATTTTTTTATTTTTTTATTTTATAGTACCTAAACTTAACACAACTTCAAATGACGTAACCAAACCATCTGATGATGTTCCCTATTTATTATAGATAATTATAATTTAACATTTCTTTTAATATCTGTCATTACATAACCAGTACGTGCATTGCATGCAATTGTAGGAAACGCTGTGAGTTATACAAACTCTATCGAATAGGGCGAAATACCAATTTCACTTTGAAGAGTTTATAATGTCCCCCTGCACATTTCCATTTTTTAACTAGTTAGTTCATGTACGCCGATTTCTCGACTACAGTTTTGGTCATTTAATAGTTCAGTTCTATATACCTCGATTATATCAAAGACACTCTTTATTTCGAAGTTGAGCCCACGCGACTTCGGTATAGCGAGGTTTTGTATTGTGCGGTTAAACATGTGTAATCCGAAACTCAAGAAGATGCAACATACATGTATAGGTCAGATAAGGGAGATGTCGGAATACACAGATTGGTTTGGTATTTTTCATTATAAATGGAATTATATTATTATGTCGGATTAGACAGGAATCCGGAGTACTCGGGTTCGGATAAGACAGGTTGCACTGTGCATTGAAGTGGCTGATGTAACGAACAGTACACATTATGCGATTTCGGTAAAAGAAATAGGGAATGTAAAAACAGATAACATAACAAAATATAAAAAATTCATTTGAACTCCAATCATTGTACTTCAAAGTATGTATAAAAACACGATGAGATTCCACTACTAGTAAAAACTTTGAAAAATTAAAATATAGCAATTGAAACAAATTACATGAAATTGGAGTGGTTGCCCTACAATTAGATGAGGTCACACGGCACAGACCCTGTTTCGTTAGAGTAGACCCGCCACACTTAATCTCACATGCATCCCAGCCATGTACGAAATACGTTTGTAAAGCGCATACAAGATTGTTATCACAACTAAATTGACATATACACATATCCTCTGATATTATAAAGTTTTTTTCCGGCATGTTTTGCAGATTAAGCAATAATTTCAGTCATATGAGTAGACATTTATGATTTTTCTATGTGTGCTGAACATCATTCTCTATATGACTAAATAAAGTTCTATCAAATTACGCTTAGATCCTGACAAAATATTGATTATCTTGGGGCGTTCAAAGATGGCAAAATTAAAAATCGTTTCTATTCTCTTTACAAGCAAGGCTAAATAAAATAAAAACAAACAATTCATCAGCAATGTGTTATTTAAAAAGCCCTCGGTTTCTTTTGAAAAAAAAATCCCAAAAAACATTGGCAATTTTTTCAAATTGGCCAGATGAAAAGTATAAATGTTTAAAGCATTTCATAGCAACCTATTAGTAGATGTTCATTTCAAGATGATCTGAATCCCCGCCAGACAATGTGCGAAACACGTGTCAATAATGACCATAACACACATGCATGCAGACCGATCGGTTGTGATAACAATCAATTCTTACAGTGACGCCAACTTCCGGTTGCAGGTATCCGTCACAACGCTACCATACATGTACCAAGAAGTGCCGGTAACTATGTATGCTACAAACTTCAGGCAATGACTACCTTACTGTATCTATATACAAACTACAAGATAAGCCTACCTCATGGTTCCCCGTGACTGCAACAGTATAACATCCGAAATATATATATAACACTGTCGCTATTCTTGCTCCCGAAGATACAGCGTCTGTTGTTAGGGTTCCCCAGCGGCCCGATCCGTCTCCTCCTCTGCTCCCTGCCGATACAGTGGCTGAGAGTCTAGTCGTATCAACGCTAGACGCGATAACCTGGTCCGGAGGCTGAGCAAGTCTCTCCAATCGTAGCAACCGACTAGCTGATACTGTCACGTACACTGCAGTAACGGACTCTTTTAAACATTTTATCAGTCCGCGATAGCCACACATGTTGGAGAGAAAAAATATGTCCTATTTTGTAGCGGTTGGTAAATTTTGTGCCAGAGTGAGAACGGGCAAAATTTTACTGACAGTTGTATTAATTGTAAAAACATTCAGTTGACTGTATTAATTATAATTACTTAACCAAGATTGAAGATGACATCAAAACCGCCATGACTTTTTTCTCCGTTAATCGTATTGCCTTACATTTAACGACGTAAATCGTTAGTGTTCATAATTACCTCCCTTGAGACTAATTCAAAATCTGAGGTTACCAGCACGCCCAGTTATTAATAAAAATGTTCTCTGATAACTCCTCGTTAATGTTGAAATAAATTTTGTGTAGAGTTGGGGGCTGAGGGATGTTACATGTAACACACTTATCAAGAGAATTCCAGCATTGCAAAAATAATCAATAATCAATCAACATTCTGCAGACTTTTTCGCGTTCTGATCGTTCAAAGAATTCAACGAGTAGACATTTTGAGTTAAAGACTCCGTTGCTATATATACGTATACGTCAAATGTATTACGTATATTTCCGTTGTTTTGCTTCTCAGAAACTTGTTAACCAACTCAAACATATCGATATGAAAACATAACACCAAGAACTAAAGGAGAGTGTTTCATGATCAGAAACGCTCGGTTTTTTGTTTCTGTTATACTGTCTCATTAGCTAGGTGAAAATACATACAGAGACAAAAAATCAGCTTTAGAGTTTTTCAGTCCAAACATTTCCATTATCTCCGAAAAAATCTCGGACTCAAAATTATGACTGATTTTTAATCGGCATGGTCGGGCATCTTTGTAGAGATTTATGAGTCCAGGCCACGAAGTCAGAAAACAAAATAACAGTATGATCTATTGAAAAATCTCATCGATCGTCCTAAATATTTAACTTCATATATTGAGTATATTTTAATTTTTACTTTCTTCTAAGTAATTTTTTTTTGTCACATTTTATTTGGAAATTAAAATATTTTTGACCCTGTATATAATCCACAGTCATCTTTTTCGGACACTATTTTACACACAGAGCATATCGCCTTAACATTGTACCAATTCGGGTCCCAGTTAATCACTGTTATCAGACAGACCCCGTTCCCTTACATCTCCGTCAGCCTTTATGTCAGCATTTGTAGCCGTGTTTGATTGCTTACTGAACGTCTTTGATGAACAAACACTCGACTATTCCATTCCATAATGAAACCACAATCGCATTATCTAACAGGTTTCAAGGATCGGGCTGATAAGGGATGAATAACGTTTTTGAGATTTTTTTTATAATAAAATCGTTTTAAGTCGGTAATTAGCTGCTGTATAAGGTTCCATTTATTATTTAGGCTCGTCAGCTTAAGGTCGCCGTGTCTAAGTTTTGAAAAGTTAATCAGTCAGACCACGCCAGAGAAAGTCTGACAGCAAGTCAATTAGTCAAAGTCGGACGGTCGGAGGGAGAGAGATATGGAAAGGAACAGAGGAGTTGTCTGCAACAGCTAATGTCATGGACGTGCCTATACATGTGTGATGTAGGTGTGCATGTATGTTTGTGTGCTGGAGGCACGGTATGTTGGAGTATTGCCTTAGTTATAAGCGCTGATCTTATGCTGACTTTAGAGTGTTACCTCTGCAATCTTAGTCATTTTAAGATTTGCGTTTATAGTGGTGGTGTTATCAAAAGCAAGCTGCCAAACATCACTGTGATGAAAATAAAAGACTCAGAGGGCCTGTATCGCTCACCTGGATATTTGGATATGCCAGACCCCAAGGCCAATCCTTGTAGCATATCTGTATTAGATTTTTCATGCCCCGCACTTGTATGTATCGTTATGGGGTGGGGATCTCAACTGTTTCCAAGCTGTGACTCAGAAACTAGACCCCTAGGGTTGTGGCCAGACCCCAGGATCAATTATAATATCATGACTGCATTTGTCTCTGTTTGCCCAGCATTTGTATATATAGTTTTGGGGTGGGGATCTCAACCGTTTCAAAGTTATGACCCAGAAGTTAAGTCGGCAAGGGTGAGGCAGACCCTGGGGTCGATTCTAATACCATGACTGCATTCGTCTCTTTATGCCCAACAATTGTATATATAGTTTTGGGGTGGGGATCTTAACCATTTCGAAGTTATGACCCAGGGGTTAAGTCTCCAAGGGTGGGGCAGTCCCCAAGGCCATCCTGGAAGCATATGTGCATTCATCTCTTTATACTTAGCAATTGTATATATGGTTATAGGGTGAGGATCTCAACTGTTTCCAAGCTGTGACTAAGAAACTAGGTCCCTAGGGGTTCGGTCAGACCCCAGGGTCTATTCGAATATCATGGCTGCATTCGTCTCTTTATGCCCAGCATTTGTGTATATAGTTTTGGGGTGGGGATCTCAACTGTTTTAAAGTTATGGCCCAAGGACTATGTTTCCAAGGGTGGGCCAGACCCTAGTGTCATCCTGGAAGCAAATGTGCATTCTTCTCTTGATACTCAGCAAGCATATATATGGTTATATGGTGGGGATCTCAACCATTTCCAAGTAATAAACTTTTGTTGGCCCCACCCCTTAGCCCAGTGGGTCAGTCCCACCATTTGTACAATTTTAAATCCCTGCCTCTCATGAATGCTTCCAACCAATATGATCGATATACATGGCATAGTTCTACAGAAGAAGCCGTTTATACATGTAGCAATATAGCCAATATAGCCAATATAGCTTTTGGCCCCGCCCTCAGCCCCCTGGGGGTCAGCCCCACCATTTGTACAATTTTGAAGCCCCACCACCTAGGGATGCTTCCAGTTAAATATGGTTGATATCCATTCCTTAGATCCAGGGAAGAAGTCGCTTAAAGCAATATAGCCAAATAACCCTTTTTGGCCCCGCCCCTCAGCCCTCCTAGAGGGTCAGCCACACCATTTGTACAATTTTGAATCCCTGCCTACCATGAATGCTTTTGCTTAAATATGATTGATACCCAGTGCATAGTGCTACAGAAGAAGTCGTTTGTAGCAATATAGCCAAATTGCCCCATCGATATAGGGGTAGACATGTGAGCGAGTCATTATTCATATATATATAGATACACGTACCTGTGTATGTGTGTTACAACGTGTATGTGTGTTCCCACACCCATACATGTAGATAATGTATGGGTCACCACACCTACTAATGTCAACATTTGGTAAAGGTATACTGAAAGATAGCCTAAATGTAGATATCTCTTCTGATGCTTTGATTGACACATTCATTAAACGTAGTCAAAGGGAGATAACTCACAGGCAGATTCTGCGTGTACTAATAAATACTATACAGGGAAGGTAGATGGTTTTCAAATTGTAAACGATACTTAGTAAACCTCATGTCTTTATAAGATTTGAAGTTTAACTAACTCGAGTTAGATAAAAATGATAGCCGACCGTCACTCGTTCAGAAACTTCTATTTAACTTCAAAAAATGGTTAGAAATATATGGCATTCAGCTTCAGAAATCGTTGGGAAACCTTACTTACATCACCCATTAGTTGTACAGCACATATCACACAACACATCTACTGACCGCTTAAAACTGGTCTTAACTCACATGGAGGTGTTACACAATGCATACCGGTAAGATACACTACCTAGAATTTCGTCGTTAACATAAAGACATTTTCGTTTGTTATAAATATAATGTGTGAATTTGGACGACTGCATACATTAAAAAATCGCGTGGAAAATACTGTAGCTGTTGCCTACCCCTTTATACAGGTACTATCTAAACATTTGAACTAAGTTTGATTTGTCTTATTACTCCCTAAATCAGCTGTATTTTGCATCTTTCTTTTTCTTTGCTTCATTCCATGCACTTACTTGACAGCAATACAAAGTTAGAAATACGAGTTTTAAACCGATCAGAGAAAATTGCTCAAAGCGTCATTAACATTACATACGGTATAACACATTTCCTTCTTTTGACAGTTTATCATATTAAACTTCATCTTTTATTCTGATCGGATATGCGTATATCTTTCTGATATTTCACGTTCCTTTCTTGTTATTCTCATACTATAGAATCCATTCGTGTTATTAAACTCTCGCTAACGAACTTTGGGGGAACTTTGGGAGGGGAAAAGGGGCGTATATAGCAATCGCCCTCTCCGTTCGTCCTTGAACCTTGCAAGAGCAACTCCTCTTCAATCGTTTGTTGGTTTGTTTTGCAACTTGACACAGTGAAAGTAAATAATATGTATATACAACTTTTTTTTTTCTGGCGTTATGGCCCTTGAGACTTTTTTTTTTATCCAGATAGCATGTCAGCGAAACTGCTCCGCAACTGTTGGATTGTTTTGTAGCCTGGCACAGTGAAAGTGCTTGATTTATTTGATAAAACCAAAACGAATTGGACGCAAGTTATAACACATTAAAAGACACAGGATTTCAGAGATCTGTTAGAAATTATAAAACAGAAAACATATATACTTTATACTGAACAATCAAGTTCACAACGTTGTGCATTTTACTGAAACTTAGCTAACAGCACATGACAAAAGTTATCCGCATCTCGACGTACCTGGACATTTTCTGGCGTGTTTCATTGGCCCAATAGAATAGTGTGGGTATACGTATACGTTAGATATTACGTCTCTACCAAAGGAAGGTATGATTTAAAATTCCAACGATCGAATGTGTCTGATTTAATAGTTATTTCTGGCGTCAAATTTCGTTACATGTTCTTTAGGTCCCCTGATTAAGCAGTTACGCATGCGCAGTCACAAGACTCAAATCCATGTAACACTGTCGATTGAACTTGTCATAGGTCTGGCATACCCTATGAATCCTTCACGTAGAAATGAACCGCGGTTCATATTACCATTACCATCACATTACCATAACCATACGTATACTCCACGCACTCATACTAATACTAGCGGTACTGATATTTGTATATTTGTTAATGAAGCGAGAACGAAACAAGTAGGTACACCCCACCCGCAGCGATATGTTACGTACTTGTGAGTCACAGGGACATGCCACATGCTATATACCTGTTTTGTGTATATATATTTAAATAGGCATCACAGCATATACATTGTTGTATCATACACATGGACATTTAATCCTTTATTATCATTGTTGTATATACATATATATATATGAAGGTATAATAGTTAATATATATATAGTGTGACGCCCACTTCTATATATATTAATCAATGATATAGTGTAGGACTACATGGTAAGAAATTCACGATATATGTTGACGCTCAGTGCTGTTCCAAACTTTTGAACCAGATCATCGCCAAAGCCATCAATTTTCAGATTGTTTTAACCATCAGGGATCGAACTCTCGCAGGGCGTATCTGGCAGGTAAACACGTGGGTAGAGGTTTCAGAATACCACAAGTCGAGTGGAACAAATACATACTAAGAATGTCGGAAAATGTTTTTCTGTTTGTTCCAAATATCATAGGTAAGCATGATATCGTCTACTTCATTTTTGTATAATGTAAACCTTAGTTGTCTGGACTAAATTGATACAATTCATATAGATTATCATTGTCATACATGTTCACAGGCGAAACGATGAACACTTATTTTCAACTTTAATCCTTTATCTTGCACTCCATTTTGAGATGGTGTTAGTTAATTTACAAATGAGTCCTGATTGATGTAATCCGATTGATATATTTTGCATGTCAGTAAATGTTTTTGAGGCTACACACGTATGTGTATCGTTTTTACATAAATTATGTATCATTTTACATCACATTATATACATGTATGTGTGATATGTGTTGTTCCAGGATATATACGTAACATAATGAATGTATTATTCCAGGTTATGTACGTATAATATGTATTGTTCAGGTTATATAGTATAACATGTATTGTTCAGGTTATATAGTAAAATATGTATTGTTCCAGGTTATATACATATAATATGTATTGTTCAGGTTATATAGTATAATATGGGTTGTTCCAGGTTATATACATATGATATGTATTGTTCCAGGTTATATACATATAATATGTATTGTTCCAGGTTATATAGTATAATATGTATTGTTCAGGTTATATAGTATAATATGTATTGTTCCAGGTTATATACATATAATATGTATTGTTCCAGGTTATAAAATATACTATGTATTGTTCCAGGTTATATAGTATAATGTGTATTGTTCCAGGCCTCAGCCCTCCTAGAGGGTCAGCCACGGTTATATAGTATAATGTGTATTGTTCCAGGTTATAAAGTATAATATGTATTGTTCCAGGGTATATAGTATAATATGTATTGTTCCAGGTTATATTCATATACTATGTATTGTTCCAGGTTATATAGTATAATATGCATTGTTCCAGGTTATATACATATACTATGTATTGTTCCAGGTTATATAGTATAATATGTATTGTTCAGGTTATAAAGTATAATATGTATTGTTCCAGGTTATATAGTATAATATGTATTGTTCCAGGTTATATAGTATAATATGTACTGTTCCAGGTTATATAGCATAATATGTATTGTTCCAGGTTATAAAGTATAATATGTATTGTTCCAGGTTATGTACATACAATATGTATCGTTCCAGGTTATATACGTATAATATGCATCGCCGTAGCCTCCTTGAACATGGTGTCGAACCACTGGATTGCAGTGATTTTCTATATGATGGCGTCTTTACTTGATGGTTTGGACGGATTTACTGCAAGGAAACTAAATCAGTGTAAGTCATTTAGATAATGTATAACGCTTCTTTCAGGGTTTTTTATTTACTTTTTCTTCGTAGTATGCATTAGTAACAACTTAGTATTCCAGACTGTCATCGGTGGATGTATTCCTTTTTATCCTTTCAGCACTAGTTGATTAATAAAACAAATGTTCTTAGTTTGAAATTCTTTTCGAAACACCATGTATGTCGAAGTCAGGTTTTATTTATCTTTAAAGATGCCAGATATCATGACCTAACTTCATGATGGTCGCTGTATTGCACTCACTTATGTTAATGGGAGACAATAGGAATTACGATGAAGCAGTCTGATTCGTTTGGGGACTCATTGTTTTTTACTGCGTTTCTTCTTCTTCTTCTTCTTTGAAACTTCAAGACAGATTCCAATGAACGTTCGCAGTGTTTGGTACACGTCGCTAGATGTGCATGCTTTCTTTGATATTGCAGCTGTGCACCCAAGATGACCGCCGCGGCCTCTGCTTGGTTTTTCTCCTGGTACTCCGTGCTAAAACCCGACACGTTCTCAAATGACCATAGCTGTTAAAAGCACATAAAACACAGAAAACAATATGCCAGTACGAACAGGATAAAGACTTTAATTTGGTAAGCTTCATTTAGTCTACGGGGGTCGTGTATAGGGACTTCTGTGTTGGCCCTCGTACAACTAGAACAGGTGTACTGTTACATGTACATGTACAATATACCATTTCTATAGCTCGTAAGATTTTATCGCTAACGTTTTATTGTCCCCTCTATTCGGGTAGCAATTAACAAGATGCCATCAAAACGCCAATTTAAAGAGCAACAAATTAACTGGAGATAGGGATTTCAGCCTGTATACATAGTACTGGTAGTGCTGAAGTCAGAACTGTTCTAATTGTTATCTATATTGCATTCGTATGATGTTTGTATATCTTTTTTTATTTACGTACTACAACCTCGATGAATTGTGATATATCTTTTTGGAAATAATCAGTTCATTATTGAATTTTATTTTAATCATGATTTGACTGGTGTCGTGGTGGCAATTATTTTCTTGAATAGACAGGAGCTCGAGGTGGTATAGTTTTTATCGCTCTTTCACAATATTGAATATAATCACATGTAAAGATACAGTACATGATTATATCCTTATGATGTTTAATAAGTATATATAAACACTGTATTGATCGTGTAAATACGCATCTATCGTTAAGTGGTGAAATGTGTCCATGCTCAGGTCGAAAACAAATCTATCAGTTCAATGCACTTGACTTATTTTCAACTCAAATTGTTTTTGGTTACTCACTCATCGTTGAAAAAGATTCATTCGGAACTCCTCAGATTTAACCGGATATCCTAAATATGTTCCTTTTGTTATTATAATACGGGTATCCGGTTTTAGTGCATACAGACACTTATCAAAATAACGACAAAACTACGTAATTGAACTTAATTCAAAAAGAATTCATCGATTTTCCCCCACTGCATACAGCACGCTTTTAATTAGCGGGATGATAAGATATTTTGATATTTGCTTTAACGATTGTCTGATAATTGAGTCATGCATGTTAAAACGTGCAATTTTGTGTCTAATTTATATATGATGAAGATAGACATATTGACTTGTAGTCGACATTCGATTGTGTCTACTTTAGGGCGACGTCATCAAGTCGTTAAACAACAAAACATTCAGAGAAAAATACGTATGTAAACATGTGGTGAAATAAACATATAACAGTTACCGAACAAACGAATATCGCCAATAAAAACTACATAAAGTAACCCACTCAGTTAAGATATTTTAACTGACCTTTACCTCACTTATCACAAATAACACAAAGAACACAAAGCGCCTTGATGTTAGAGGAAACCGGAGTATCCGGTAAAAACCCACGTGATCGGGCAAGTGACCCCATACCTTTTCACTTCCGGTCGGGGAATCGAACCCCCGCCGCCTTGGTGAAAGGCAAGTGCGCTATCCACTGCACCACCCGACCAGCCTAAGTATTGGTGATGATGCAGCGTCCGTCCTTTAAACTTTAAGCATGTTCTTCTATAGAACTTTAAGGCCTAGAATCATAGTAGTTCTTTTCTGTAGATTCGCGAGGTAAATAACATCAACCAGCGTTCAATGTCATACATGTTCACACAATCTTTTCTCATCAACCATAAGGTATATGCAGAGGTGAACGACTATGCTATCAATGATTTACCAAATAAATGGCAAAACCCAATATGATTGGTATATATTTTTATTAACTGGAACTTTATTACCGTCGCAGTGTTAAACATTCATTCAAAGACCCTTTAATATATAACAGGTAAGAAGTAAAGGCGCCTTATCTAGAAGAGTCATCTTGCCGTTTTGGTCAACTGGATGGCAGTAGTAGGCATTCTATCCAAGATACTTATTTTCGCTAATAGGTTGACTATTAAAGGGTCATAATACTGCAACTAGTAAGAAAAAAATAGTCATGCCACCAATATGTATTGTTATATTAATTAAAGAATATTAATTATAAAAGTGAAATTTTATTTTGTTTGCAGGCAGCCGATTTGGCGCCCTCCTCGATATAATAACAGATATCTGTGTGTCCAACGTCTGTTTACTTAGCTGTCTCTGTCATCTCTACCCACAATACATGGTGTTGTTCCAACTGAGCATGGTCCTCGAAGTCTCCAGTCGGTGGCTTCTTACACAAAGGTATTAAGACAACAACAATAATGTCTGTTTTACGAATTAAATAACTCGATTTGTTTTCAAAGGACTATGTATGGTTTGGGCGCGTTTTTGAACTTTGAAATGACTGTTTCTTTTATTTTAAATACTTCCCAAACACTTTCATGAAAATATTTATTTGTATTTCTAATTATTGTTGCCATGGTAACAAGTTCAAATTTGCATAAATTTGAAAAAAATGAATATTCAGTGAATTTTGTCATATTTTGCATAGTTTTTATCCTGGAAACTGTAGAGCGAAAGCTTGAACAAATTCAAAATCAAAGGATAATGTGTAGGCACCTGTAATACATCTTTAGGAGAAATATAAAGTTTGTTCAAGAGTACGCTCTATGGTAACTAAGAGAAAAACTAGGCAAAAACCTGGCAAAATTTACTGAATATTCAAATTTCATCAATTTTTGCAAATACTAACTGGTTACCATGGCAGCCATAATTGAAAACCTAAATAAATATTCACATAATAGTACCAGGGAAGTATTCAAAATTTAAGAAACAGTCATTCGAAAGATCTATTGAAGATTTTTAATTTTGATGGATTTGGGGGCCAAAAAAGACCCAAACCATACATAGTCCTTTGCAATTTTAACAACATATCACAACGTCAGAACACAAAGAAAAAAGTATGAACTCGGAGTCGATAGTTAATAAGACCGCTAAACCAGAAGAAAATTTTATAAATACGAACCCCCACAAAAACAGTGAATGCACAAGGTGCTCCGGATGAGTTATCATTACAACGAAGAAAATATTTGAATGCCTGCAATTTCCGTATAATTGATTGTATGATTTATTTTAAAGGTTTCTTAAACATAACCAAGGATTCTTAAAATCATGTCGATAACTGTATGGCTTCATAACGTTACGGATAGAAAGTATGCCTTACAATTTAAAGTCATTAATCTAGCACCGCATACATCTCATTTGTCTGTTGGTCCGTGTATAGTAACGTTTCATTACCGTGTGATGTTTTAAAAACCCACCATAAATACTATATAAGTACTGAATTCGTACTTTGAAATCAGGTTTACCTAGATGTATGTATACACGGTGTTTGCTCCTATATCTCCCAGCTTATTGACTCGACTTCAAATTTGTACATTTTAGCACAGCCATGATCGGGATCAAAAACATCAAAGAAAGGGATTATACCAAAGAAAGCAGACTCATAGAATTATATTACAAAAACAAGGTTAGTACAAATAACAATTCGGTTTTCGTTTCAGGAACTGGAAGCGCTTGCACTTCCGGGACACCGGATTTCACTTCCTGTATAAGGGACTCTCGTTGTATCATAACTAAACCTATGTAATCCGTTTACCTATATATCCACGACGTTGACTGGTCAATTTGTGGATAGGTGTTTAAATGATTGTCTTCAGATGTATTTTTGATATTGTTTGATTGAAAATGTTATAGATATTCTAAGGCCTACATTTTCTATCTGTTAATTGGCTTTCTTTTCTGTTTTCGGTGTCCGTTTATTTTGAACACCTATTTTTTTCAGGTATTTCTAGGAGCTGTGTGTATCGGGAATGACCTGTTCTTCGCCATGCTCTATCTTACCTACTTCACAACTGGGCCTCACGGTAATACAACCTGTACATTTATTTATAAAACAGATTTACGCTTTTCCTTATGTTCCACATATTTATTTAATTCAATATTTGCACAGATATGTATAATTATGTAACAATTGTATTAAGATTGGGATGGTACAAAAATAACGCACGCCTGACCTCATTGCCAGGATGACCTTCAAATTAATGAGGTTACATAAGCGTACTGTAATAGATGGTTATACTTTTATTTAAATTCAAATCGGCAAAAGAATGTATGTTAAATGGATCATTTCACATTATAAAAACTATTAATCATGAAAAGTGTCCTAGATTATACTTTTCCATATTAATTGTGTTACTCCTGGTATCATAACTATACTTTTTTCTTGAATTCTTAACTGTCGTTCCTTTGCCCCTGACCAGGTTTTATAATTTTATGTTTTAGTAGATCCTCGTTTATGTATATCATGCTGTACCTGGCAGCCATTCATGTCTGATGATGTGTTGTATGTTCCAGTTGGCTCTCTCGGACTGTTTGAGTTGCTGATGTACCTGTCAGCCCCATTTTCTCTGGTTATGTTTGCCGTTGGGGTAGCCATACTTATCCTGGCGAGTAAAAGCATCGTCCGACTCGACATATCCGAACGCAACGTGTGCAAACATGACTAACTCGACGTAAATCCGTCATCTCATCGTCTGTATGTTTTATATTTCACTCTATTTATTAAATATTAATTCTCTCCCACATGCGTTTTCTTCTCGTGGTTAGACAACACGTGTGGGTATTGGCGGCGGTCCAGACTGCTTAGCGATTTTCTCACTTTTGATTCTAGTATCATCTTTTTATTGGCCATATTTCCATAACAACAGTATCGAAACTTGTACTATTCTAATAGTTTTTAAGAGTTTTTAAAGATGTATGTAGACGTGATGCAAACAGTAATCTCGACCCACGGGAAAACATTTTTGAAGATTAGCACTCGGTGAAGCCTTGCACTTAAACTCCAAGTGACTTACCTTCGGGTTTCGATTTCTCTGTCTACATGACAGATGGTTGTAAGATTCTATAAATAGACTCGAGACACAAGAACAAAAGGAACCTTCAGGTCAATCAGAAAGCGAAATCGCACTCTTGCTCTGGCATCATATCACGATATGCCTTAGAAGCAATCCCTTGTATTCTTGAAACTCCTTTTAGTCTGATTATAAGCGAGTCAAACCCGACTTTTTATTTGAATAAGATACATTTTTGTACTTCACTAAGTAGTTTTTTATTAAGTCAAACCTTTGAGATTTAGCAATGTGTATATACATCACATAACAACACTATTTTATCAGACTAAATTTCAAGATTTTTATTTAATATCTTTCCTTTTTTATGATTGATATTGACGGTGCATAATGATCATAAGAACAATGTTCTTGCAAATTTTAGTGTATGCTTGAGCATACAAGCTTACATATATGCTACGCCACTGCCGTCCATGAAATCAATTTGTTTTATTTCGCTTGTATAACCCCCTTCTAAGTGCCGTGTCAAGGTGTCCGGCTAGACGTGTCCTGTTTCTGTCCACAACGGGCAAAACTTAGTAAGGAATAACACCTGAGGTGTCTGAAATCTTCTTGTAATCAACCAGCTGTAGTTATCATATATCACCCTTAGTAAAACAAAAATCTGTGTATGAACGTGGCCACTTAGGGCATGGAGTGACGCAAAGTTTGTGAAAATCCTGACCTATATTCAAGATCACAGTATCACATTTAAAAAAAAAATCCAATGATTTTTTCTTTAACATAGTCAGTAGCCTGTTGTATATGCGTGCTACAAGAAAATGGGGTGTCCTTGGCATATATTCAAAGTTATAATGTTCCTCTTAAGACAAACAGCATTTTGGACCTGGATTCATAATATATATGACCGGTATATTGCCGACACGCAGTGCTACAAAGTCAAGGAAAGGAAATGACCTTGATTTAAAGTCAAGGTCAAAAGTCAAATATTTTAAAATATGGATGTGGCTCATTTTTAACAAACGGAAGTTCTTGATATTACCCTGCAACTTACTGTCATATTGAACTATACAACGTTCTACACAAAGAAATGACCTTGACCGAAATTTAAACTCAGGGGTCAAATAAGTTTTAACACTTAAACTGTATATTATGAGTTCCGTCTTCATGTTATAATAACAGATATCCTGGAATGATGCAAACAAAAGTAGTTAAGAAAAGAAAAGACCTTGACCTATATTTCAGGTCACAGGGTTGAAGCATGTTAAAACACTTGTGAAGTAAAATACACAGAGTTATGATACAATGTATATAGCTAGCAGCTTGCATACTTTTAATACTAAAGAGTTTGAGAACGCAAAAGACCTAAAAAAACACGAGGCCAAATGCTGTGGTTGACCACACCTTGACCTTTCAAATCTAAATAAAAAGTCGCAGATATCAACATCATTCAATTTTTATTCTGTTTGTTTAAATAAATATTATTAAATTAAATTACAGTCACATCATGTTCCGACTTTCCGGCACATTGTTTAAAACAGACTATGTTTCTGTATAATGTTCATGACTTGTTTTTCTTGATGTAATCAGTCAAATAAGGGCTCTACTGTGGCAGTCTGTCTGACGAAGCAGCACAGGAGATTTCTACGTATCCAGTCTCTCTTGTTGTGGGCCTTGGAAGAACTCTTCTTCTTTTCACCGACTGAGGTGTTGGTGCTGCCACCTGTTGGACATTTGAAATGAATGAGTCACATTATATAAACACCATAATAAGATATTTTATAAAAGAAGAAACAACAAAAATGGTTGATTCAGCTGTTAATTTTTTTTCGTTTCATTTTATAAAGTTTGATTCGTTACAGTAACATTAGACTAGGAATATTGAAGCAACTTAATCGCATAACCACACGAGCCTTTCCTACAACCACAGATAATGTCGAATAAGCAGTTTTTGAAAAGGCACCGGGGGGAAAAGGTCCGGTCCGGAACCTGATTTGCCTAAAAAACATTTTTCTTCTTTTTCCTAACGGATAAACTAAAGTGATTTGAAAACCACTCTGACCTTTTCAGTGTTCCTCTTTTTGTTCCTGTTGGAAAACTTATAGTGCTTTGACCATTGACTTTAATGAAGCGGAAAGGCTTGAGTATTTTTCTGATTCATTTTGAGTGTTTTTTTCCAAATGTATGATCTACTGAAAGACCAGATATAAACGAATGTTTCCGAGTGAATGATATTCTCACCAGCTGTAGCAGCATTAACTTCCTTGGCCTGTTTCTTGTCTCTCTGAAATAAAACGTTACATACATTATATCAAGCTAGTATGTACTTTCCATGGTGTAAAAATGTTCATGTATTACTTCATACAGTAAGCAGATTTGTTTTGATAATTTATTTTAAAGTAATTATTATATCAACCATTGACAAAATCGTTCAAAATCACTTGTTTCTCGTGTAATTGAACAACCCTTTCTGTGAAATTACATGCAGTGGTGATATTGTTTGATGTTTATCCTGAAATCATATACATTTTAGTTTTTAGTTTCTAAATGTTCATCGACAGAAGTCAGACAATAACCTTACCTTGAGAATTCTGTCAAAGAATCGTTCCAGTACATTCTTCATGTGAGAGCCCTTGCTGCTCACCTGCGCATCAGTGCCGGCCACGTGCCCTATCTTAAGTCCTGTCGGCTTGTCGTCTTTAAGAATTAAGACCGAAAAAAATACAATTCGAACATTTTACATTTGATTAAAAGGAGATAATATGTTTCTAATGATAGGAAAAACTCAATTTAAACGATTTCTAAATAACATTAATAATAAATGATTTTTTTTTTTTTTTTTGACAACGTCTTTTAAAATATGACATTCCTTCGTACTGAATGAAATACTTGAGTGCTTAAAGCTAAAAAGGTAAACAGCGCATGCATAAAATAGGAATATTTTGAGTTATAAATACCTTTGATGGGGTTAGAGGTGAAAATATGAGGCTTGTTATCGTTTCCTCCAACACTTGGCTTGATTTGCTCGTCTTCAATCTCAAGAGGCTTACTTCCTGTTGTTCTAGATGTTACTTCCGGTGTTGCAATAACCAAGGTTTTGTTGAGTCCAAGCATTACCTCCATCTTACTATCAGTTGGTGAACTTTGACCCTCGCGGATGGCGTTGATTGACCGTCCAATGGTCAGCCCTACAATGTCATCTACCCCCTGGTCAAGACCTCCGTCCATTTCCCCTGTTTTGGTTTTTATTTTATCAACAGCTTTCTCTATTGCATTTTTTACCAAAAGCTGTGCAATCTCTCGCAGTTGTTCGTCTTCCATTGTAAATTCTGAAACATTTGTGCGTGCCATTAAAAATATTTCAATTGTTTTAGTGATACCATAGTCAGTTAATAGCCTCTAAAAAGATGCATACATGTAGGTGTATTTGAACTAAGGATAATTGAGATATCTATCAATTAAAGAAATAAATCCATGTAGTCCATACGTTTCATGAGTTATCTAAAGTTCATGTAGAATTATCACTGTTAGAATTAGAAAGGTGACGAATCACTTATACGTAACGAGACCACTGCACTCGCTAGATTTTTTTTTATCTTATCGCGGTAGCGACTGCGCATGCGTTAGTCAGCCTCTCCTTCGGCAGGTAATAAGGGGACGTAACCGTGTATTTCAAGTCAGAAAGCTATATGCTTATAAAACAATATCAATATTTTATATAGTCCTTTTCATATGTGATATATCTGTTTCAGATAGCTTTATTACAATTACTGTAGAGATGTTTCCAATTGGCTCAAAGATATTTTTTATTTCTATTAGAGATATATCAATGAAACAGTTATGTTACGTCTAAGGTTGTCTATTATTTAAAGATATATATTTAATACTTTTGCGAATTTTGGTATTTAATATTAAGTTTTCCTGACCTGCAATATGTATACAATGTAACCTCGTTACTTCGATGGATAACAGAAAAACTCGGAAATATATCGGAACATTAGAGGCGTTCCGAGTGTTTGGAAATAAACAACTGTTACATAAACAACGACTGTGTTTGTTTGCTGTCTGTCTTAGATCGTGATTAGAAAGGCCAGGCCCCGTATTCATTCTCAAGCATGGATTTTGTACTCAAGCCGACTGTTTTGTAACTTGCTTAAATCTTGTAACACGGTAAAACGTTAACTGTTAACATTAGAAACAGTATTAGTTTTTTAGTCTCCCCAACATTCTTAACAAATTATCAACAGAATCTGAATTTTTATAAATTAGTCACAGGATCAAGAAATTTTACTTCAGCACAGAATCCGAGTGTGAGCACGAGAACGCTTTCACTGGCCCGTACGTATCAGTTAGGACAAAGGGCCTGTCAAAGATCCGACAATAAGATGAAGTTTATATTGAAACTTTTAATCCAATGACAATCCAATGTGGGACATCCATCCGCTCCTATTTAATCAGAGAATAGATCAAATGGACTACAAACTCAACCTGGAATATTCCCAATGGTGTATTTTGTTAAATTCAATCTTCCTTTTCCAGACGGACGAATTATTTTACAATATTAATCACAATATACTTAAAGATTCCGGAGAAAAGCAAACCGTTTTTCTCCAACCTGATGGTGTGATTCAAGGCGTTCATCTCGCTCTTGTGGTATTATGTATAAACATGGCGAGGACCATTAAGTCCAATAATGTTGTAAACGATTTTGATAAATTGTAACGTGCGAGTTTTTAAGAAAAAGCAATGGAAAGTGAAGTCAAATTCCATAAGCTCCCTTTATACGAGCATGATTGATGAATGAAGTAGTAACTCCGCTTTAGACAGGTACTATTGATGAGTTAGGCAGTTACTCCGCTTTAAACAGGTTTGATTGATAAGTTAAAATGTAACTCCACTTTAGACAGGTTCGATTGACGAGTGAAGCAATACATGCAACTCCACTTTAGACAAGTCCGATTAATGAGTACTCATTTGCTTTGTTTTGAATCAAAACAACTATATTCATGAAAAACAAATGAGAATACTGAAATCGTACGTACCTTAAAGAATGTTCTGTACCTGATTTGAATGCTATCTGAATAAGAGTAAAAATCTTCTTCGCACGTCTGCTTAAGCTGAAGCTTCCTTCGTCGCTAGCAACAGTGACAATGACGACAGGAAATCTCGCGTGACGATCGCCTATTGTGACGTCATAGAAAGAAGTATTAATACCGAGCGAACAATTTCTTTACGCGGAAACTTGTAATAGTGTTTTTTTGCTGGGAAAAGTGAAGCAGTTGATATAGTTTTTTTTGGAAAAAGGTTTCCAACTTCATACTTGCCTACTGTAGGCTGCATGCCAATGCGTGCGCGAAGGAGGGGGTATATCCCTTCCAACAGGAAAGTGGAAGTGGGGAAAGGGAGAAGGGTTCGTGAACCAGGGACAGTGGCGTAGCAAACATTTTTCGGGGTCTATGTTTACAGAGGGTCGAGCGTACGAGGCGCGTAGCGCCGGAGGAGGGTGAGGGGACGGGAGGTACTATAGATGGGGAATCTCCCGTGTTCTGGTACTCATTTTAGTCTTATTATTGACAAGCATTAAAAACCCAAATTTTATATTTATATTAATCAATTTTGATCTTCACTAAGTAGTTTTTGATTGACATAAACCTGTAAATTTGTATTGACATAGCATACAAACACTATTTTATCCGAATAAAATGTTCAAGAAGTTTTTTTCTCGATTTCATTCCTTTTTAAGATTGATACGGACGGTTCATATTAATCATCAAAATCAAAGTGGAGAAATTAATAAAAGCATGATTAAGAAAACAAAAATTCTTGAACATTTTATTGTATGCCTGAGCATACAAGCATACATGTATGCTACGCCTCTGGCGATAACGTCTAGATTGTGACCAGAAGAGGGATTCACTTTCTGTTCCTAAGTTATATATAAAACATGAGAAAGAGATAAACTCTCAATAGTACTGTTACCAAATTTTAAAATCTGGGGAAGAGAAATAGGCATATATCATCTAAATGGTGTATTGTTCGTAAAGTGTTAAAGAAAACATAATGTTATCAGAACATTTAAATTTGAAATTGATAGATTATAAAAAGTCATAAATACAATGTTCCGTTAGGAGTAACACTTTTAATCACAGAAATTATGTTTTATATTATATTGCTGATTTTAATTCGAAGAAATCTTCGAATCCACAAGAATGGTGCGTTTTTTCTAGTTATAGCAGACAAATAGGAGTTACCTCCCATGTTGCGTGCGCAAGGCATCTATACGTACAGCTCCAATTAGAAATTGATTACATGGAGCCACAAAAATTACGCTCCATGTGATTGTATTGGTTGTTTGAGGCATGTAATTTATGTTCATCATTTGCGACATGTGTGTGAAAGTGAAGATTTGTTTCTAAAATATCAGTTTGAAGTGCGACCCGGGCGCGGGTCGCTTACAATTTCCCGCATATTATAGAGGGCCGGATCCGGAGTTCTGACGTTAATCGACGACAAACCGATATAAAAAAGTCGATAAAACGTCAGAATAATTCGGACTTACTGTAATGAAACAATACGTTTGGTTTGGTTTAATTTTGTTTAACGTCCTATTAACAGCTAATTTAAGGTCATTTAAGGACGTGCTTCCATGTGTGTTTGCGTGTGGACAGATAATTTATGTATTTCTTTGGTATCAACAGCGCGTGTGTCTATGTATAGAGCTCATTAAAGTGAATCAGATTCACTTATAATTTTAAGCTGGTCGAGTACCCCAAAATGGAACACTTCATCATATGGGTCAGTTTATGACCCTACATATAGATTTGCAATATTGTATATGCTTACCTGTTACCTTTTATGCACTCAAATCAATTAAGTATAGGGTAAATATTTACATACAAAGCATTGCAGGCTCCCATAATCCCACGTAAGATGCAGTTCGTAGTTTTTATTCTTAACAATACGAAAATCGTTATACATGTAAAAATAGTCAAGTGTAATTGAGTCTGCGCGTGTCGATTCTAACAAACAAAAATATTTTTATTTTTAAACCCGGTGATAGTTTCTTGTTTGCGTTGAGTTTTATGGACACTGTATCCAATATTGTTTATTCAATAAATTACTAAAAAAACTTTGAAACGGATATAAACCCAAGGTTTACCAATGTTAATTTCAATTTCGACGTTGATTTTGGAACACTTGGTGTTCTTTTACAAGCGTCCTGTGTCATTAACTTTTTTATGAAGTTATATTCATCTCGATCAGAAATTGATCCATAAAACGTCACCACCAAATAAAAACAAAAAATCATCACTTAATTCTTTTGGTCTCGTGCATCGTCTCACGGGAACGTTAGGCGGTTTATCTCCTATCATCAGTAGATATATACATTTTAGTTAAATAAATAGACGTGATATTTTTTTCTAATGTGCATTCCATGTATGTACTATCAAAACACGATAAAATCGTCGTTCAAAGTGTTGATTCTTTTTTAGATCAATCCACTTTTCGTAATATTGCCATTAAAATGAAAGCAGAAAGTGCAACACTCAAAATAACAATATCTTATGCAAATTACTGGTATCGCATGACTGAACACTTCCATTAACAAATTGATTCAACTGTGAAAAGTTACATTTGCTGGATTAATAAAAAAAAAACATATTTGCCTCTCCTACCCTCGTTCATAGTTCACATGCTTTAAATATATACATTTTATCTATTTTACAACAATTTTGAAACAAGGTTTTTTTCAACTGATATAATCACTCTTGTTGGCCCGGATGTTAGCGCGCGGAGGGTTTTAGAGTAGGAGGGAACCAGAGTACCCAGAGAAAACCCACAATGTCGGTGGGGTGATCACTCAATCCCATAACTTTTCACGTCCGATCTGAGAATCGCTAACACTTTTGATAAAATCCCTTTTAGCACAAGAAGCAATCGGCTAATGAAGGTGTATTGATTTATTGAAATTATTCCGGGATATCAAAATATATATATGGAAAATTACAAGTTTTATCTCTATATGGGATTTCATAGGAAGACGCGTTTCATTTTATCCCCAATGTAACGAATAAAAAAGTGGATTTTTTATGATGGTTATACATGTAAAACGCACCTACACAATTTTAACCGGAATATTATGCGGAAGAGAAGCTAACTTGTCAATCTGACTTTGGTTGGGTATAATCAATTTACCTCTCATAGAAAAAGTACCTAAAAATCAATGTTTTTATTGAAGTAATTAAGCAGCGAACATTAATGCAAATGACATGCTTGTTTCGATTTGTGACATCGGATCAGTGATGTTAGAGGCTACAAAATCAATAGGACGACTCCCACCAAATAGGAATCCTACACGAGGAGTACCTGTATTACTGCAGGACTAAATATTGAAACTTCCTTCTTACCTTTTTTTACTTTTATCCGTAAATATTTATATTGATCCACGGGTTTCCTTGAATCTCTATATTATTCATTTTTTTTAATTTTTTTTTTCAATTTTCAAAGCTATAATTTTAATTCACTGTTATCTTGAAGAAGATAATTGAAATTTAAGGGTATGCCGGGTCTTACAATAATGATGCTAGTATATTATACATGGAAGCACTGCTTCGAAGGGAGGAAATGTTGTCGGACGCGTGTGACTTAAATCGATATATTCATAAGCAAAGAACAAATACCATGTACAATACAGACAGTAAATTGTTAAATTCCGAGGCAATTCTTTACTTTGTCTTAAAAATAAAAATAAAAATAAAAATAAAAAGCGCTGATAGCATGAAATCTATAGTTTGTATAAAGGCAAGGTAAAACCGATGCAGTCATCAAACCCAGCTTCCATTTTTGTTGTTCGACCGAAGTAATATACTCTTTAAAACACGTTTCTCCAGGGTGTAATTATTGATTCCTTTTTAGTTTCTTACGTTATATATCCCGCCAAATGCCCCTCCCTCCCTCCTTTCCGTCTGCATGCTATCAGTTTCTCCCCCCCCCCCTCCTCCCTCCTT